CTGTTCCTTCAAAAGAAAAATTCTGATCACACTAAATCACTAAAGGCCTTTTCGAAAAATTAGCGAACAAAAAGTCTGAGTTTATGCGGCCTCTGACCCCAAATTGACCCCACGATCACGTTTCCAGTAACTCTAGAGGTAGATCCAAGGTTAAAATATGCATGCATCGTCCGTGGATACTAAGAACCTATAATTGGCTTACGAGATATGAAGAAAAGCTGGATTTCGGATGACCCGTTAGTGAGTTATCGTGACGCGATTTTCCATTTTAAAGAAATAGTTGGTTGAAAGGAATTCGTGAATCGGCTGCACCGGAAATCTAAGGAGGACCGTTGTTAAGTAAAGCTTGTTGGATTGGATGAAGAAGTCCTCGGCTTATCGAAAGCTCAGTATAGTTTAATAGTCGCAGACTCCCTACGCCGCGGCAATCCTCCTTCAGTTTCCGGTGAAACCAAAGGACGAAATCCTTCCACCTAACTTGACCTTCGAACTTGAAAGTGGAGTCACAACGATTAGCGAGAGTTAGCCAGTAACTATGGTCTTGTGAGGTATCATCTTGTTCCCTTGCGAACAGATATTCACCAGTCTCCTAACACAAGCAACATAAAATTTCGCCTAACCCGCAGTCAAACGAAGTAAAGCCGGCCCTTCAATGCTCAAAGTAATGTCCGGCTTTTCTGACCCAATGGCTTTTCTGAAATCAGATGAACCACTCGAATGGAGTGGATAATGTGCCATCTTCAACAACTTATTGCATCATTAGGCCTCATCTGGCCAAGCTCCCCTGGACATTCCTGCACTAGCCAGGCGAACAGAATGTTAGTTCATATCTTGCGACCCATAAACTTTCTCTTTCTGGCATATTTTTCTGTTTGCCAAACTTCTTCTATTTCTCTAACATTAATACTCGCATCATTCCATAGTCTTGTGGCAAAAAGAAACGATGCATGCATGCGGGCCTAGTACCTGTAAACACATACAAATACACACACATACACACACACACTCACACGCTCATCAGAGGCAAGTATCCACACAAAATAGAATTAAACCCTAGCGGACTTAAGCAATTGGCCTCTCGCTAGTTGTGAGACAATCCAAAACGTGCCTTTGGTACAACTTAACAGACCTATTAATTAGGATGTCCGAGTCTTGAGGGTCCCAAACAAGTGTGGCCATCTGTCGGGCGATAACTGGTAGCATTAGAGGCACTACCAGATGAGACGACGCAGTAACGAGTCTCAAAGTGCCAAGGGAGTTGGTGGAGCAAAAGTGTGTGACATAACGCCAAAACCACGGGTTAACTCTTCTGGGACCGATGACAACCGGTAGGTGTGTTATTGCAAACATTTCTGTGGGACCAAAGACCGTCTGGTCTGCACCGAAAAAGTCTCACCATCAAAATGAGCACATTTTCTCAATCTCTCCACCGGAGTTGCCCTCCTGTGGAAAGACGTCGACCAGCTTTAGATTGAAACATGAGCATCGAAAGTGGACGTTGCGCCTCAGGGTCAGGTTCGATTTAAGGCCCTTTGCCCACCAAATTTTCTCTGGAGAATGGCTGGTATTTTCCCGATTTTCAAAACTAGTCGCACTGAATAGGGTAATCGAGCGACTCTGAAGATGATTATCCATACAGTGTTGCCAAGACCTGTCCCATCACTCAGCTTGGACAAGTTTCAAACTTCCTGCGAGAACTCGAACTCAAGCCGCTCAAGTTCACAGGCGATCTCTCCAACTATTCAGGTGTAATGACAAAGCCTCATCAGGGGTCGGAACTCACCCGCCACTCGTCGCCGGTCCACGATGTGAAGCCAAAATCGGCAGGCTTCTTGAGCACTGGCCGCAGGTTTGAGTCCCGTCACATGAGGTCCGCGCAAACTGGCCGCTTCATGCCGAGGAAACGGCCAAATATTCTCACTGTTCCAGTTGGACTACTGTTCACCATCTGCTGGGGCTATCTCATCGAAGAGCAGGACGTCACATCACCAAGGCCTCAAAGCAGACGCCTTCATTACGCTTGAATTGGCGGAGATCACATTCCAGTGAGAGCAAATAACTATATAGTTTTCATGATCATAGAAATCTAAAAATCACAAACCGAAACGTTTGAGAATGTACCGAGTCCACTGTCTGATGCTGTGAATCATGACAATTATTATGGCAAACGACTTCGGACTAGGTGCGTTCTACTAAGTCACCCTGACAACAAGACCAAGATGCGACTACGAGGACAACCAGTAAATCAATTATATGAGATGTATTCACTTTATTTCGTTTAGGTGATGAAGGACCGGTAGTTAGATCTTTCCACTGTGATATGAATAGAGCTGACGCTTCCATTAAATATAATACATCTCATATAACTGATTTACTGGTAGCCTCGAAACCCTACTTATCAATGAATAATAAGTAGTGTAGTTGTTTATAATAGCAAATATAACGTTGCTTCATCTAACCAAAGAATGTGATATTGGTAAATGCCTAGCTTTCCTTGAAATTGGCATCTGCCCTATGACCAAAGAGTACTCGTAACTACGTGGTGTAATGGTCAACCTGTCAAGATAATACGTTGCACCTTCATGGTTCGAGTCTTGCTGGGGTTGTTGACAAAACCTATGCGAGATGGAAGTTGCAGTCCACCCTGGATTAGAACATCTTTTGCAGCGTCATCTCTACTCATATCATTGTGGAGAAATTCAACTGCCAGTCTTTCATCACCTTAAGCGAATTAGTGTGAGCACAACGCATACAACTAATTTATTGGTAGTCTCGAAACCTTATTTATAAACGAAAAATCTATAGTCATTTGTTCAAGATAAAAATGAGGGCCAACGGATGACGTGTTGTCAAATCTAGTTGATGGTATTGGCGAGATGATAAGACACTCTCGAAACTGCAATACAGACTGGACAGTAATGCTCCTTGGTGAGGATAACAATATGAAATTCAATGGTGT